GGTTCAGCAATCTGTTAAATGGGCACATGATTCAGGACGTTTTGTGAATTTCCGGCTAAGGAAGGGGCTGGCATGACCCGCTCAGACCACCGGAAGGGTTGTTACTCCGATTAGACAGGGTGACTCGTTGTGCACTCGAACCCAGCCCAAGGCAGCCGACTGGGTGCAGCGGAGCCCACTGGGGCCTCCCCTTCACAGGGGTGAGAGGCCCAGGGGGGCCCAGGACCCAGGACCCCGGAGCCTGAGCTCCCAGTGTGGGCAGTGGGAGGGGTGTGACAGTACGATGTGTGGGTAAGCCTCCCTGTCCCTGCTCCCGGTCTGCCAGCGTCACCAGCTAGGTGGCCTCATCCCCCATGCCTCCTCGTGTGAAATGCGGGTGAAATGAGTGTGTGAGTGAAATGGGGGTGACCATCAGGCCTCACGGAGGTCTGAGAGAGCCCGGCAGGAAACGCCTGTAGAGCGGCTGGACATGCCCCCCTGGGAGATGGCAGTGTGCCCAGCGCGCCTGCAGCGCTGTCGGGGCTGCTGTTTACCGAAGGGATCTGCGCCTGGCCTGGCCTGGGCACTGGAGACCCCACGGGAAAGGGGACAGAAGTCCCCGCCCTGGAGAGGCGGCCGTGGGAGTGGCCACACCTAATAAAGGGCCAGGAGGTGGCGTGGTGGTTAAGGTGCTGGATCCCACGTGGCAGACTCCACTGTTGGCGTCCTGGACGCAGCCACTTGAAAATCATGCTGGCGGTGTGGGTGTGAGCCCGAAACCCTGAGAAGAGAATGGAGGAGGAGGGGTTGTGACTCGGCCATCTCCCCTGCGGGTGATTACTCCTCTCCCATCTCTCTGTCTCTCTGGCAAGTGCAGGCATCTTATGGCAAAAATATCTCCAAAAGAAAAAAAAAGGGGGCCAGCAGGTGATATGGTGGTTAAGGTGCTGAATTCCACATGACAGACTCCTCTGTTCGAGTCCTGGACGCAGCAGCTTAAAAATCATACCAGGGACATGCACGTGTGTGCCCAAAATCTCAACAGGAGAATGGAGGAGAAAGGATTGCAGCATGGGACCAGCAGTTGGCATAACGGCTATGTCGCTGGACTCCCACGTAGTCGACCGTGGTTCACGTCCCGGACCCGGTGGCTTAAAAAACTCATGCCGGGCACGTGTGCGTGCGTGCCCAAGATCCCGAGAGGAGAATGGAGGAGAAGGGATTGCGGCGTGGCCATCCCCCCGGGGGGGTGATTTCTCACTTTCTGTCTCTCTGTCTCTTTCTGTCTGTCTGGCGAGCGCACGCGCCCTAGAGTGAAAAGACCTCTCCAAAAAAAAAAAAATGGATTGCAGCATTGCAGCATGGCCATCCTTCTCTCACTGTCTCTGTCTCTCTCCACACAACTGTCTCTGTCTCTCTCTGCAAGTGCACATGCCCTATGGCGCACACACACACACGCACACACGTCTCTTAAAAGAATAAATGAAGGAGCCGGCAGGTGGCATGGTGATTAAGGGTGCTGGACTCCTGCATGGCTGACTGTGGTTCAAGTCCTGGACCTGGCAGCTGGCCTTCTCACTTCCCCTTCCTCTCTGTCTATCTCTTTCTGGTCAAATTAAAATAAATAAATAAATAATGTTAAATAAAAATAATTCTTAAAAAAACAAAAAAAAGAAAGAATAAATACAACAGGGCCAGTCCAGCAGCACAGCAGGTAAGCACTGGGCAGAGGAAGCTGGATCCCGTATAGCTGACCCAGGTTTGAGTCCGCTCCAGCCCTGCACCTATAGGCTTCCCACACAGGTGCACCGGGGATCCTGATGGGATGGAATATTGGAGCAAAAGAGACTGGGGGGGAGGTGGGGGGACCAGACCCATGGAGAGCTGCTCTCTCTCCCTGTCACATGGTTAGCATAAAAGAGCGTGAGGCTTTGAAAGAAGTAACAATAATCTCTAAAATGTCAAATCCGGATGGACAGCTCCTGTGATTGCTGCCCAGGCTGTCCCTGCAGAACCCCACTGCCCTGGTTATTTCACTCCCGCCCTGACTGCGTTGCCGTTAGTAAGAGAAGGCGGTGACGGGTGTCTACGGGAGGTCGCAGGTGGAAGGCACGCGGCTCCCCAGGCCGCCCTCCTCGCCGCAACCCTGCAGGGGAAGGGGATGTCCTTAGGGTGGGGTTGGAGGGGCTCGATTCCCCTGCTGCCCCGTCCCACGGGAGGAGGGGGCAGAGAAAATAGCATTGATTAAACTTGCAATAAATCACCATTTAAATTTAAATAATCCGGCTTCCCAGGCGGTAATTAGGCGAATTGACTGGCGCCGAGAGAATGCGGCATTAGCGCGGCTGATTACTGTCATTACCCGACAACACGTGCGCCGCGGGGCATAAACATCTTGTCTATTGTCCCCGAGCCGGAGGGGGAAGCGGGTGCAGAGAGCGCGGGCGCGTGCAGCCCCTTACCTGGGTGGGCCTTCCCAGGCTCCGAGAGGGCCGGGCCGCGAGGTCGCCGCGCTGATGGGCGACCCGGCAACCAAGCCCGCCGGTAACCGAGCCAAGTGGAGCAGGACACACCGCCCCCAGGTTGGGGGATCAGCCCCACGGGGTCCCTCGCAAGAAGCCAAGCGTCTGTCCCGTAGCTCAGGTGGCGAAACTGAGGACAGCATCTTAGCAGAAAGCTCCAGAGCAAAGCCTGCGGCCCAAACCAAGAGACCCGGGGGCCCCAGGGCCTTGACCTCCGCCACCTGCTGGCCCCGCAAGGAGGCGCTGTTCCCATTGCCGGTTTTTTCTTTTAATTATTTATTTAATATTATTTATTAGTAGTAGTAGTAGTATTTGTCCAGAGAGACGGCGGGGGTGGGGGGGGGTAGAGTGAGTAAGCAAGCCACCAGGTCCAGGACTCAAACCACCTTCGGCCATGTGGGAGTCCAGTGCCTTAGCTGCCAGGCTACCTGCTGCCTCCCCATCCCCCCATTTTTTTAACAGTAACATTTGTTTTTTTAAGATTTTAAAATTTTATTTATTAAAAACAAAAGAAAAAAAAAGTGTTTATTATTAAAGAGAGACAGAAAGTGAGAAAGCAAGCCACAAGGTCCAGGACTCGAACAGCCATCGGCCACGTGGATTCCAGTGCCTCAACCACCACCCACCTGCTGGCCCCACCATTCCCATCTTACAGAAATATGAAGCTGAGGTCCAGAGAGGCGAAGCTGCTCTCCCAAGGGCACACGGCCTCCAGGAAGCCCAGCTGGGTTCATACGCAGATGGCCTGGCTCCAGAGGCCACCTTCTCAGCCGCGGTGGCTGGGGTGTTTGTAGGTCCCCGGGAGTCACCCAACAGCCTCTTCTGAAAATTTTGCTAAAGTGCACGCGCACTCCACAGAGAGGGAAACGCGCCCTTCCGTGAGGTGGAGCTGCAACCCTTCCTTCTTTTGCTTTTTTTTTGGAGAGGTTTTCACTATAGGGCGCGTGCGCTCGCCAGTCAGAGAGAGAGAGACACAGAGACAGAAAGCGAGAAATCACCCTCCCAGGGGGGATGGCCACGCCACAATCCCTTCTCCTCCATTCCCCTCTCGGGATCTTGGGCACGCACGCACACGCGCCCGGTGTGAGTTTTAAGCCACCGGGTTCGGGACACTAACTGCGGTCAACTACGTGGGAGTCCAGCGACACAGCCACTACGCCAGCTGCTGGTTCCCTCTTTTGCTTTTTTTAGAATTATTTTATTTATTTATTTATTTATTTATTATCTGACCAGAGAGGGACAGAGTGAGAGAGAAAGAGGAAAAGTGAGAAAGCAAGCCCCCAGGTCTGGGATTTGAACTGTGGTTGGCTATGTGGGAATGTCCAGCGACCTTAACCACCACACCACCTGCCAGCCTCCTGCAATCCCAATGTGAAATGGGACAGGAGATGCTAAAGGTGAGCCCTGGGCTTCTGAGTCTGCGGAGCAGACCTGATCTCTGTCCGCAGAGCTGCCCTGTGCCAGTCTGGGTGCTGGTGACGCAGCCCTCCGAAGTGGGACCTCCAAACCCTCAACATGAGGCCCTCACCCCTCCCTCTGATTTCATCTCCCACCCTCTCACCTCTTCATTCCCCTCTCCCATTTCCGGCTTCCTTGCTGTTCTTCACAGAAGCAGGTCCCAACCTCAGGGCCTTTGCACTTGCTGTGTTTCAATAAGGAACCCTTCCCTCAGAAGGGCAGCACTTCAGGAGCAGCCTTCTCTGACCACCTTATTATTATTATTATTTGGAGAGGTTTTTGCTATAGGGCACGTGCGCTGCGCTCGCCAGAAAGACAGAGAGAGACAGAAAGCGAGAAATCACCCCCCAGGGGGGATGGCCACGCCGCAATCCCTTCTCCTCCATTCTCCTCTCGGGATCTGGGGCACGCACGCACACGCGCCCAGCGTGAGTTTAAGTCATCGGGTCTGGGACTCGAAGTGCGGTCGACTACATGGGAGTCCAGCGACATAGCCACTACGCTAACTGCTGGTCCCATGACCACCTTATTTTTTACCATGTTTTTTTCCCCCAGAGGGTGCATGTGCTCACCAGATACAGAAGGAGGGGTGGGACAAGCAGATGGCATAAGGGCTATGTCACTGGATTCCCACATAGTTGACCACCATTTGAATCCTGGACCTGGCGGCTTACAACTCATGCCAGGCACATGTGTGCGCATGCCCAAAATCCTGAGCGGAGAATGAGAAGGGATCGTGGCGTGGCCATCCGCCCGGGGGTGACTTCTCACTTCCTGTCTCTGTCTCTCCGGCGACCACACGCTCCCTATAG